TAAAAAGAAAGTTAGATTTTCATACTCAGGCAGATTCCTACTGGGGATACATGCAGATAACTTTTACTGGCAGCACGCATAGTATCACTTTTTCTAAATGAAAGTTATCAACCATTTTCTTGTTGTTATTGTCTTTTTTCCCCCTAAGGATAGAAAGGACAAATTATTTTTAAAATATTGTATGATTTTGCATACAAACATTTCTGTTCTGAAATGAGATCTTCATATATATTTAACCAAAAAAACCCTTAAGAATCATCCAGTAGTCATTAGGAATACATGAGCACACAGAAATATATCTGCAAAGATATTGTTAAAAAACTAAGGTCTTAAACACGGTTTCTGATTTTGAAACAATTTCTTCTCTCTATGTATGACTGTTGCGACAGTGTTGCACCAGCCAGCAATTAAGTACTACACAGTACTCACTCCCCTGCCTATCCCCCCAGTGGAATGGAAAGAATCAGACAAAAATAAAACTCAAGGGTTGAGATGAGACCAGTATAATGATTGAAACAAAGTAAAATATGGTACTACAACTACTAATTTTAGTAGTTGTAACAAAAAAGAAAGACAGAAATAAGACCCAATAATGGCAAGTGATGCACAACACATTGCTCACCACCTGCTGACTGAGCACAGCCCATCCCTGAGCAGTGATCAACCCCTCACAGCCAACTCCGCCCGGTTTGTACATTGAACATGACGTTCTGTGGAATGTAATATCCTTTTGACCAGTTTGTGTCAGCTGTCCTGATGCTGCTCCCTTCTAGCTTCTTGTGTATCTGATTGCTGGCATGGGAGTATGGGAACCTGAAAAGTCCTTGATTCAGAGTAAGCACACCTAGTGACAACTTAATTTTCAGTGGGCTATCAACATTATTTTCATACTAAATCTAAACCACATCACGGTAACAGCTACTAAGAAGAAAACTAACTCTATCCCAGCCAAATCAGGACAGCAACTCAGTGAAACCATTTTAAATATGGTAACTATGACGTATAAGCCTCAACCAAAAGCAGGCATTAAGCCCTTGTATGTTATTGTTTCAAAAATCCCAACCCCACTGTAGATACAGAACTCTGTTTTTATTCTTCTAGGGAGTTATACTGTACTAATGTAAAATATTTGTTTTCAATAGAGCTTTAATTATATTTGTTATTTATACTTATTCCAATAGAGCTATCCTCTCTGAATATGATACTTTTATCTTATGACGTAAATCAAAATCCCATATTTGAACACCCCTGAATTGATTCTTGCAACATGAAGCCACCTCTGTTAAAATATATATTATAGTTATTGAGTTATATTTTATTTCTGACATCTGGTCTGCACAGTCTGACATTTATTGGATGATTTTATTTTATTTTATTTTATTTTATAGGTGCTAACTTTTTCAATTGGTACTTTAGGTTTTCTTTCCTTTGCTTACCTTATCTCTACCATCTTTTTCCTGTTAAAGACAGGGATTGGGGCAGTTTCACCCTGGTTTGCAAGTCCAGACATTGTCCACTTGCAGAAATTCTGTCAGTGCTCCCTGAGGCATGGAGTTCTTCCTATCAGCTTGCCTCACAAACCTAGCAGAACTGAACATTTCAGAAGCCGATCTTAACCAGTACTTGCCTTCCAACCATTCATTTTCAGGACAGATTGATAATATGCAGACACACATTCTGTTATTTTTTTATTTGTCAGTCTGTTGTGTGGTTAGAGAGTAAATTATGGCTTCTTAGACTATGATTTGCATCATTAAAAGCTAGAGAGAAATATAGAAGTATTTCTTTATATGGGAATTTTTGGTAAGATGTCATATAAACAAGGTCCAAAGGAGAGTTTGGATTTCCTCAATTGCACTTTCCCCAGGCATGAAAAATATGTTTGATTTTCATGGAAAGACCCATTTTATCTTCACATATAATACATTTCCAACACTACTGACTCTCTTCCATTAGTTTCTATGCCTACCTTACTACTTGTAAGGCCATGTGATAGTAAAATTGCCAGAAATGTTATCTCTCACTCTATGTAGGCAATATTGGTATTTCCTACCAATGATATAAAGATAGTTATTTGGTTCCACCTCTAAAGATAATCTTCCATTACTATATAAAATAAAAGATTACATGGAATAGATATTACTCAACACAGAGGCTGAATGTTTCCTTGTTTCAATCACCAGTTTCCATAATAGTAAATATAAGGTAAAAAAATCCCTACGATATCGTGTCAGGTACTTGGCATAGCAACTGTCTGTTAAATAGTATGTGCTATAAGAATTATAAAGAAAACTGTTGTGTTTCGTTCAGCTCTGAAGCCGCAGTAAAAACAGCAGCCAAAGGGTTATGTTGAAAATCAACTGTAAGAAGAAAGGAAGGGAAGGGAAGAGAAAAGAAACTTGGAAAGAATCTTGGATTAATCTGTTCCTTGGAGTTCTTCATAATCCTGCTGAAAGAGGATTTTTGTTGTTGTTCTGTTTTTTTTCCCCTTCCTCATAATGCAGCCTAACATTTGCTTTTTGAAACCTGAGAAATAAGATTTTTATTTTTTTCTGGGTTTTTTTTGGTTTTTTTTTCTTATTTTTTGAAAAGCCTGTTTACCCAAAGATTCATAACACTTGCATTCACAGACATACCTTTTTCTGTAGTCCTGTTCATTACAAGAGGATTCTACCCAGCAGTAGCCTAACAGTCTACCAACCAGGGATATTTAGGTTTCTTTTTTTTAATTCCTATTGTATATGAAGACTAGTGAAAGAGGATTCAGCTATTCAGCAAAAGAGGGTTGCTATCAATTATTTGCACTGAAAAGACAGATTTGTTTGATGACATTTTTTGTTCCAGTCTGAAATGAGCAGGTCAGCTGTGATTAGAAAGCTAACACCAGTAGGTTCACTGAAAAATGGGAGAGTTTAGATTTCTACATAAGACAATAACACTGAAGAGAACAAATAAGTGAAGTTAGCTGAGCTAAGACAAAGTTTTGAGATGTGATGTTGGAGGAAGCTTTGTGTCTCCATTAAAGGATCTGTAGGGTCACACATATACTACTGAAAGAAACAATGCCCATAACATTCCCAACACTAATGTCAATCAGCAAAGAAAAACCTTCATCCTTACTATTGCATTCCTCTATCTTCCAAACATAGTGGTCACATCTAAAATACTTGTTAGAAATGCTCTCTGTGTTCACACACGAAGTATGCACAGAAATTGTTTAGGTGAGTAAACATTTACTTGGGCCAAAAGCTTATCCTAAATCATTCTAGAAATTAACAGTATAGAGAGCTGAGCTCAGTATACACGAATGATCCCTGGCAATAAATGACTTCCTAATACTTCAGTTTCCTTAAAGCATGCATGTGCTACCTGCACACACAATTTCCCAGTTTCATACGTAAAACCCTGTGTTCCTGGATTTCTGCATCTAATTTCTTTCAAAATTAACACAATACTTTTTCCCATAAAGAAAGAAAAGAGTTTTCCTTCCTACTTCATACATTTGCAATCATTCTTTAGATCTATACTACCTACCTAGTATAAATTAATTTTTTTGTTTTTCAAAGAAGATACAAAACACCATCAGTCATCGGAAGGCCATAGTAAACCACATTATGTGTGGACTGATTGGCTACCTGGTCTGGCCCTGCCCCCTGCTCTCAGGATGATTCTGTTTAGTCTAAAGAATGTTTTGGAAAAGATGGAAAACCAGTCTGATCAATATTCCTTACCTTAACATCCAGTTATCCATCCTCCCACAATCCAACTCAGAGTCCTGCTGTTGCTGCATCTTTGAGACCACTGCTGATGGGATTAGGATGAAACACTTTGCAGATAGCATTATCCCTATTTATTTACCAGAATTGGAATGGCTGCTATCATGTTGCCATCATGAAGCTACTGTCTTCCTTGTCTGGCCTTCTTTCAGAAGCAGCCTGATCATCTGGTGCAGTTTTGAGACTACAAGTTTGGTTGCTACCCATTGTTATTGTTTTCTGTGGCTCCTTATTTCAGATTGGATGAAGATGTGTGTACAGAGGAGAGGAGGTGGTACAGTAAGGTTCATTGGGAGTTTCAGGAAACTCAGCCATGTAAAAATTTGAAATCAGCAATAATTGGTGCTTCTAAGGTTGAAAGTGTGTTGGAAGATGGAATTTTGATATAAATTTTGTACTTAAAGATTGGTTCAGTACCATGTCCTTAACTCCTGTTCAAAACTCTTCTGAAGTCACTGTAAAGATTCCCATTGAACTTGAGCAAATTCAATTCCCAACCTTAAGAGGAGAATAGCTATTTCCTTACTTGGACTGTAATGAGCTAGTACCTCACAGAATGCTATCAGGCATAGTGAATCTTTCTGCAGCATCCTAAACTTAATACTGATTGACTTATAGCAGATATAACATATCTGCTATAACATAACATATAGGAGGCTGAAATGTTCCCGCCCCACTTTTTTCTTCCTCTGAGACTTCACAAAAAAGGTTGAACACAACTAAAATCAACAACATGTAGATACAAACATAGGCAAGAATGGACAGAGAGTGAGTAGTTTAAAAGAGAGATAATGCTAGAAATATTTAGGACTGCAGGGTTTAATGCTAGAGCAACTGCAGGACTTCTCATCCTTATCTCTCCACTGCTACTTATTATTTTTGGGAACTGATGAGGTTTGATTTAGGTGTGAAAGACCTAAAGAATGATACTCCTCAGACAAACCAGCTTCCAGAAAAAGGGAAAAGAGGAAGCTGTGAAAATCTGTGCTAATGCTCAGAAAGATAACACACAGAAAGATGTTGCTAGATGTCACTATTAAAGAAACAGTGTGTAAGTACAGAGAACACAATAGGGAAACAAAAATCAGAAAATACATATTTGTCAATGGCAAACTATGTAGAACTATCTCAATTCCATTTTCTGAGAAGTGAGAAGGATGGGAAAGAATTGACAGAAATCTACAGGAATCTATATTTGTTAAAAGCTGTTGACAGGATCTTATAAGCAATCCAGAGAAATGTGTTCTATATGTCATAATTGCAAAGTGAATGGATGGTGTGAGAAACTGAAATGGTTAATGGCTTAAACATTGTTAAGATTACTGAAAGACTTTTGTCCACTGTAGAAAACTGTGCAAAGACACAACTGCTCACTGAAGCAACTCCCACACTCCCTCCCCAAATATACTTATTAATTTGGACCGTGAGGGGAACTTGAGATAAGATAAAGGTTCTACTATTGTCCAGTTATCCCAGGAGAAGAATGTACCCACAAGTGTGAAAGAATAGAGTGCTGACCCCCATGGACTTCCGTCACCACACAGGTTTTTTTCTCTCACCACCCTGGACTCAGACTGCAACCATCACTTCAACAAGACTGGAACTCACCATCAAGAAGGCCACAAGAACAGGATCAACAGGATGTCACCGGAGTCTACAGAGTGGTGATATTTCTTCTACCTAACCTGTCTCTCTGTCACTCTCTTTTTCTCCCCCTCCCTTTCTCTTTTTCCTATTTCTTTCTATCTCTTTCTATCTCAAATTTACTGTTAAATAAAATACCTACTATTGACTTTAGCTTATGATCTCATTGGCACCTCTCAGGGCAGGGACATCTCTACGAATTTTAGTAATCAGATCACAACATGTGGTCAGTTGAAAATAAATAAATAAATGCATAAAGAAATATTTTAAAAACCCCTTAATGATTAGCTGTCTTTTCAAACTGGAAAACTATTTCAAGTGAGGTCTCCCAGGCCATACCTGTACTCCACAATGCAGTGCTTTGTTACAGAGAACTAAGTTAATGCAATACTATTTAAAGGCATTCTCAGAAATGCAGCCTCTCCGGTGTTGATTACTTGCTTTACAGATACACCTGTTCTGATTTTGAACATAATTTACTCAAAGATAATAGCAGTATGTTCATGACACTACACTGCATATCCAATGAACCTATCTTAGAAAAAAATACTATTTATTATTTACATTAATGTCTTGTATGGTGAAACTGAAAAATCCAACCCTGGCAGGATTATAAAATCTATGAAGAATGGAATTAGAATTTGGAATTATCGTGATCTGTTGGAGGAATGGGCTGAAACTGATAGGAGTAAATTCAATATAAAAGTAGGAGTAATACCACATTAAAAAGAAATCAAATGTGTAAATCTAAAATGGAGGTATGAATGGATCAAGCTGAGGTTGAATAAAAACATGAGATTAATCAAAAAAGCAAATCTCATTTTGCAGTGTATTAAGAAAATGGCTGTTAAAAAAGTAATGCGAATACTTCCTCTTTCCTTAACAAATCCAACCTGCAAGTTTTCTGTAATCTCTGTAAGACTTTCTTGAAAAGTATCCCTTGCCCTCAGAAACTATTTTCCCTTCTTAATGATAAAGAACAGGTACTCTGAATTGTACATCTAAGATATGTGGAAGGTAAACCTTTTAATAGTCTCAGTTTGTCTTGTTTTCAAATCCTTTTAAACAAAAACTTGAAACAATTAGAGAAACTTCAAAAACTCATAAGATACTTAGATGTTGTTGTTAAAAGTAGGCAAATTTTATCTGCTTATAAAAAAAGATTAAAGAAACTCAAATTGTTTGATCTTGAAAACTGAAGGCTGGTTTAGACCATAATACCAGTTTTAATATGCATAAAGGATAAGTAATGAGAGGAGAACAACTAGTTATTTTCCATATAAATGAAGAGCAGGACAGAAAAATTACATATTTAATTTTCACTCAAGCAGGTTACCATGAAACACTGAACTACCTTATTCTGGGAGCCAGGCATGCAGAATATTTTATTATTCAGCACATTAAAAAAAAAGTGCCAAAACCATGTCCATTTATTTCTACTGGACTCCTTGTAAAATGAAGTGGAACTGCAAAATGAGTGTGTATCAAAGTCTGGTCCCACTTGAGCTATTGGCTTTGCTGAGATGTGTCTCTGAAATTATCCAAATTCCATAGTGGAAGTGCATATTTTTCCCTGGGTCAAATCTCCAGTAATCTTGCAAGTTTAGTAGAAATGCTGAAGAAAGAAAATTCAAATTTAACTAACAGTCATTTTGTGAAATCAGAACGCAATTTGAAGCAGAAGTTCAAAATACACTTCAGGAAATCAAAAGGAATTAGATAGTCTAATACAGTCTCATTCTGGGATGAAAATAAAAGAAAAATACAAAGGGAATCTCTTCACTTTGATGTGAGAGAAATATAAACTTTTACCCAAAAAAATAGCATATGCATTTTGATGTGACCCATGTAACAGTAAAAGACATACCCACCATTGTGATATCCCACATAGTTAAAATTACCTGTGCTGCTACACAAAGAATAATATATCCATCACTTTTCCTTATAAATTAAATTGAAATGTTTGTTAAAATTATCTTTTCATCTCTTTCTCTCTCCTGTCACTGCCTGCTTCTTCTCCTTATTATTTTTGTTCTTCAATCCCTGCCCGCCCATACCAAACTCCTCCTGACAGAAAAAAAATGTCAAGAGATAAATCTTTAATCCAGTTCTGAGCACACAGAGATTTTCTGATCAGGCTTATGTTTGGTGCAAGGTAAGTCCAAAACAAAAGAGCAGACAGAAAGATGGCTTAGCCTCTTACCATCCTGAAGTCTCACTTCTGAATTCCAAATTGTTATGACTTCTTATTGTCACAACACAAAGCAGTTCTTAAGAAATCTAGCAACCTAATGAGTCTCATACACTAGTGTTGCAGAACACATTGATCTGAATATAAGAAGGGACAGTGTGTTATGTATGATATATAAAATGTAACAAGTTAAGTTTATTTTTTAGTACATTTTTCTGAATCCATTATACTTGCCCTCCACCTGTGTAATCTGCTCATTTTTCTCACCAGTGCAGATCATTTTGATGCATGCCATCCAGCTTCAGGATTCACCTATATAAAGACAGATAAGAGGAGTAATTACCTTAGCAGATGAGCTAATGAAGTCTATATAGAAACTCATAGCAAATAGCTATGAATTTAATAGACCAAACTAGTTTCTTTTTTTTAATTACACTTTCTCAGCCTGAATATTGGGAAATCATGATTGTAATAAGTATTGCTCTTTGTTTGCTGCCGGGTGTTCAAGTACCATATGAGATGAGTAAATTGCTTCAGTTATCAGAATACGTATGATTTCTGAGAAGGAGCAAAATGCTGTTACCCATTCACAGGGACTAGAAGCATCGGTCATCTCATTTCTAATGATACATCCAGTTGTCAAGGCAAAAGTTTGAAAACCTGTGCTTCTACAAGAGGCACTTTTTTTTTTTTAATAATTTCATCTGTAACCAGGGATATTGAAAGCACTTCAAAGTGACAAAATGTGTAGGAGAGGAGATCATCATCAATGCTTGTGAAACTGAAGTTATTTGTGGTGACAGCACTAAACGATCTTCTTCACAGCAATGGGATGGAGTGCTTCTGGCTGAGCCAGGGGCTGAAATGCACAAGAACAAGATTTTCCAGTTCAAGGTCTAGCTACAAGCAGCAGTAAACTTTTCCCTGACTTGCCCTTTTGTTGCTTTTGAAGCATATTGCACAAAGCCTTACACATATCCATTAAAAGGGATTCAGTTAACATAAAATTAATGTTTTAGCTACTGACAAACAATGCTTGCATAATTTCAAGACCTTTGTTTTTTGCTCTGCTACCCCAGAGAGTAGGCTGGGGATGAGCCAAGGGAATGGGGATGAACCCAGCTGGGACAGCTGATGCCAATTGACCAAAGGGGTATTCTATACCATACAGCATCATGCTCAGCAATAAAACTCAGAGGGGAGTTTTTCTGAAGCATTTCTTGGTTGGAGATTGATCTTGTGGGCTGGGCATTGATCTTGCGGTGGTGAGCAATTCCATTTGTACCACTTATAGTATCCTTGAGGTTGCAAAAGACTTCTAAAATCATTGAGTCCAGCTGTTAATCCAGTACTGTGTTAACTTAGCAGTATGTTAACCCACTATGTTCGCCACTAAACCATGTCCTCAAGTGCCACTTCCACATGCTTTTTGAACCCTTCAGGGATGGTAAGTACGCCATGTCTCTGGGCAGCCTGTCCCAAGGCTTTGTAACCAGCCTTCACAAAGCAAATATAAGAAGTGTTATAAGAAATATATATGAAATACATACTGATGTTTCTAATAGGTTTCAAAATCCACCAGAACTGTTTTATCAATGACAAAATTAAACAGTTCATACTAAACTTGTTCCTGTCTCTCACGCTTTCACGTGATCTTTATCTTGACCAACAAGTTTTCTTGCTTTTGCCCTTTTGATTCTCTACCACATTCCTTTGTGAGGACAGAGTATCAGCGATGAAGAAATGGGACTGCACACACAGAATTCAGTTTAGGGATTTCCCCACAGATCTCTTTCTGCATTTCCCTTTTATTCATATTCTTTTGTAAACAGCACCTGTTGTCTTTTAGTTAACCAGAATCCTCAAGATATTGCTAAACTGGTGTTTTGATCCCACACATTCACACCTTATCATTTTGTGATGGTTTTCAGCCACGGAGAAACCATGCAGACCATGCAGATCGTTCTGCTCTGAGAACACAGCACTCTGTCAAAACACCAGTCAAGGTCGGCCCTCCTTTTGGGTTCTAAATAAATGAATGCAGGTGCAGGCTGACTCACTTTGTTCCTATAACAGAGCAAGCTTCTGGGTGGAGGCTTCGCTGCCACCCCATGTAAACACACCATATTCTCAAGACTAATGAAGATCTGATGAAAAACTGAAGTTTAAAAAATTATTACTATCTTGTTCAAAGCTTTTTTTCAAAGGTGTACATTCTTTTGCAGCTGCACAGGCCTACTAAAAAACATTTATTTACTGTAGTCTTAAAAGTCCCAAACATTGACATGAATATTAATTGCTTAGTCTGCAACCCCATTTTTACTGTAGTAAATGGAAGAGTATTCAATGCATGTAGAAAAAGCTCTTATATCAAAACATGGTCACAGACCTATCCCATTGCTGTTACATCTGTATAGTTTACTTTTTCACAATACAGTGAGCATATAATAGCTCCTTTTACAGAATAAAATAATGGATTTGCAGACCAGTTCCAACTTGAATGAAACTCAAGTTTCCTCAGTAAAAAATTGCATATTAGCCTATTAGAATATGAGTCATAAAAATTAACTGTGCCCCAACATGATATTTTTTTCATAATTACCAAGGCTGATTAATTTTCTGATATCACTGAATTATTTCACATCATATATAAGGATTTAGATTTTGTTTGAGAAAACATGACATATGCAATATTCTATAGAAGCTATAGAAAAAATAAAGCAGAGAAAAAGGAAAAAAATGTTCAAGTGTAAATTATACTGCCTGTTAAGAACAGATTTAATACATTTCTGAAAGACAGAGAAGTACAAGGTCAAAAGTTTGTATCCAAATAATTGGTTAAGCTACAATATTTCAAGTTGCTCATTGCAGCTGGGAGACTTTTTTTTTATGGAAAGAAACCACTGAATTCCACTGGGAATATTGCAGCATCCAAAATACCCACTCTAAGAAGCTTAGAACTTATACCTTATTTTCAAAAAAAAAAAACCCAAACAAACAAATCCATCTCAGAGGATGTAGTCCTGTCAGAACTTCTGTCCGTATTAAATGAAGGGGATGAATGATCCCATTTGGATCTTCAATTGCTAATATGATGAACTAGATAAACATTTGCAACCTTGGATAATTTCATCTGTGTAGCTGGATTTGGGAATTAATAAAGGCTGAAATTCATCTCACCACACTTTAAGAGTTATGCATCTAATCTAAACAAGTTGTAAAATTTCTGTCTTCTAGAGAGAGTTAATGGGAATCTTTTCTGGAGCATACTTCATTTGACTTCAGCAGAGACATTTCAGGCTAAGTTCTACCATCCCTTCCGTTGAATAAGATACTACTGAAAGGGGTTCCTCTACCTCTTCCCACCTTTCTTTGGGAGTTCCTCTTTCTTCTGCTGGAATAAGGGTTAAGGCACCAGTTTGACAGAACAGCTTGAAAACTAATTGCTGTTCTACTGGGTTTGCTTTAAGATGAGCCCCTTCCCTGGAGCAGAGAGAATTGATTCTGAAACTGGAAATAAGGGGAAGACTCTCCACTTTTTGACAGAAGACCTCAGTCAGGGATGGCTTAAAATTTTATGGCATAATTCCTCAATTAATTGATTTTGTTAATTAAGTTTATTTAAGATTAAGATGTTTCTGACAGTGATTTTTTTTTAATCTCTTTCTGGCCTCTGCCATGTTTTCTGTTGCTTTCTTAATAGTCATCCATAGTCCTGTGTAAACACAAAGGTAGCAAGGAGAAATACATGTGTGCATTTAGATCACCATGTTGTTCAATTCACTCTACAAGTCAGTCAGAGTTATATCCAAAACCTAGGAGAGAGAGAAAAAAAGGCTGGCAAAGGGATGGGATGCAAAAAATGCAGGATCATAGCTTTCAATGGAAATCTATGCTGTTATCCGCTTCTGCTGATAATAAACACTGGACACAAAACATTTAGGAAAAATTACCCTCCTGAGTTACCTTTCTCTTCAGAGATTATAAAGAAGGAATGGAAAACTAGTTGAGATTATTTAGCTGGGGGGGTTGTGATATGAATCTCCTCCTACATGACAAGAAAGGATGACATATAGTCCTTTAACTTACTTTTTAAATTTCTCCCTCAAAAAAAAAAAAAAAAAAACCATAAGAAAAACAACACAACAAAAAGAAAACCAAACAGTAAATCTTCTTTACAAGCAGAGTTGGAAAACCAAATTGCCTCTATCTGTCTCTTATTTCCCCAACAACCATAAAGGGGTAAAAGAGAATTTATTTTGTGTCATTTTTTTTTTTAATGTATAAACAACTTTAGATTCCAGTTATTAACAGACAGTGTCTAGATACAAATCATATCTTACTCTTTCATTAAATAAACAAGATGAGGATATCTCAGATCTGATGTCAGGTAGAAAAAGTTTCCTTGTTTCTGTGTTTATATTACTTTGATTTATTTACTTTGATTTATTTACTTTGATTTATTTACTTTATTGACACTTAAAATGTCAATAGGATGACACTTTAAATATGTCCACAAAAAAAGCTGCCTTAAAATTTCCACAGTTGTGTCAAATGTAGAATAACAGAGTTTAACACATGGAAAAGGAGGTGGAAAGAAGCTTATGAGCTGAAAAGGGACTCAGAGAGGCCAGTCCACCAGAACAAAATGTGGTAATGAACTCAGGACTGATAATATTCACTGGCAGAGGCTACTATCTAGAAAGAAATACAGTGTATTACGTAGGCTAAAGAAAAGGATTTTGCACTCATCTGTGAAATATGTAGATGCAAAACAGAGCAAATAAGATCTTCAGCTGGATTTTCAGAAGGACAGTGAGAAGTGGTATCTTAGTAGTTGGATTTTCAGAAGATAAATCAGGATATTTTTAAATTAGAGGAATTCTCCCACTGAGGTTTCTTGGGAGATCTGGGTTTACCTATACCAGAAATGAGGTATGTGATCTAGAGCAAGTTGTTCAAGTTAAAATTTTAGAGAAAAAAATTATTCTTAAGTAGGAGCTCAGTTACATTTCTGTTAGTTATTAAAAAAAATTCCTTTCTCTAACACTTCTTGTTTATTTTAAACAGCCTCATCCCCTGACAGTCTCTTTTAAGGGAAAGAATATTCTCTCTTGTCTTTCTACAAGCTTGATTTCTTTTGCCTTGTGCGGAGTTTTGCATCCACATGTAGATCTAATGCGGATGATAAATCTATCTTCTATTGCCTGTACAAATAAATCTACTCTAGACTTATCTGTACCACTGAAATAAAATGAAAAACAATAGTACTGACACTCAGACTATGGAGTTTTTATATTATTTTGTTCTGGATAGTCAGAATTATTTCATACAGAAAAATTAAAAACAAACTTACTTGAAAACCAAGAGATCATGAGTGGAGATGCAGTGTGTGTTTAAGCAGAGCTTCTTTCTACCTGAGCTATACAAATATAAAAATTAAAACCAACACTTCAATAAGAAATCCAGAGATTCACTCACTATGGAGCTTTTCACTCTACAGTGTTAGTGCACATGTAGAATGAGTGCATACTCGGTGCAGTACTAGTTCCTCTGAAGGTCAGACAAGTTATACAAAAGAGACTGTATACTAACAAACAGGAGGAAGACTTACGATTGACTAAGGTGAGTAGGAAATAAGAGTAAGATAGACAGATTTTAGCTGACCATAACACACATGTGAGATATTCTCATGCCATATGTAAAGGTCTGTGCAGAAGCTGGTAGTGGTTCCTAACAGAAAGTATCTTAAATTACTAGTGGTTAAAGACCAAAGTATATAAACACACACAGCCACAGAGTGGTGTCCACTGGATTACTGGTCTTTGTAAAAATCAAAGGTAGCTGGAAGAACACCAAGGTAGTTTAAATTAGAGAAAGTAATTGTGCTGTGTCACAACTATCAATTTTAGACTCTCTATATATTAAATAAATTTGCAATATTGATAAACTTAATTTCCCTAAGGGACTATGTAATTGTATTTGAGCATTTATATATATAATATGGTATATTACTATGTAAATATAACAGTCTGGAAGGGAAAATAACCCAACAATAATATACAGCATTAGAAGTAAAATGAATGCATTTTTTAATTGAAGGTAAATTAACATATTTTTTCAACTATATTTCTTTATTTTATCATCAGCTTTCTTAGCCCTGATTCTAGTTCTTGCCTTCTTATAGGTCCAAATCCATAGATAAATCATCTTCATCTGCTGCTGATGCCCATTTGCCCTCCTGCTTAAGACTTGGTTCCAACTCCCTTTTAAAAACCTGTGAAAACACAATACAGGTAAAAGGCCAATCAGTTCAGGCAGGAACAATCACTACTTTGGCTTAAGGGTATGGCTGCCAGCCATAAGCACATCTGTCATATTGCTTTGAAGAAAGTGAAGCTTCATATAGGGCCAGAGATGCATTTGCATAATCTCTTTGACAATAAGTGATGGAACAGCAATAAGGTCTATTTTGGACTATAAAAAATCTTGAGCTGTGAGGGAAGAAGGTGAGGTGGGAATAATAAGACAAATATTGAAATGAAAATAAGAAAGAACAGATGGACTAGACAAATCAGATATCTGCATAGTGGAAAAAATATTATATACAAATGCGTTTTCTGAAAATCAGTGTGTTTCTACTGTCTAGGCATTTCTGAACAAAGCAAGAGCACTAGAAAATTGAAATAGCAGAGTAAGATCAAAAGATGAAGCCATTTGGGAGTATAAAAATAATGATAAGACAATGCATAGGGTTCTGCTGAGGAAAACAAGGAACACATTAATTATATGGGAACTCCTCGCATGCAAGTGTTAGGAAGATTGACATGTGGGACCTTTAGCCAGTGTATCATCAGATTTACTTCGTATTATGCAATATTGTACTGATATGAGTGATCCATGAACAACAAATCAATGTTTAAATGTTTAAAGAATTTATTTTTTTAATATCCTTACAATGGAAAAAATATTCAGAACTGTATGTTGTCAGTATATTCGCATTATATACATACTTTAAATATATTGTTTATAACACTGAAATGTGTGTTGTCATTATATTTAGAAATTATTTAAATTTTCCTTGGATTTACTAAACACATGGTTGATATTGATGTTATTTACACTTTGAATTATTGGGAAATGTTGCAGTTTGAACTGTCTCCTGTTTGACGGATCAGATAAATCAGATGTTTTTATTTCCAGAACTCGATTATAAAATGTACTCACAACAGACTCTTTCACAAATACAAACAAAAAGTTCCTGCAAAAATGTGTGTTAGCAAAATGCAATAGTCCACGGGAGATACAACAAAGTTACCTTTTTATCCATTAGTACCTCAGTGTGACAGGAAAATAAAAACACAACTAGCATATCCAGTATGTCAGATCATAATTATCATGAGTTGTCAATCCCTTTTGGTGGTTTACACTGTGGTGGAGTAAACTCGTATGTTGGTCTACCTCTTGAAGATCTATCTAACCAGGGATGGTCTCTCTAATATTATATGCCTTGTTTTTGTGTTTTAATCCTAGGAAAATAATACTGATATAATCTTCTTCCAGCATGCAGATCAACTTTTCTTTTCTCTTGTGAATTACTTTCTGAACATTTTATTGAAAATTGTTGAAAAGATCTTGCTGACTGGAGCAAATTCCATGTAATCAAGGACAATTGCTATAAAATGGCAAATGAACACTTATTGGAAGCTTGTGTGCCTGTGATCCTAAAAATGAGCTATCAAGATATCAGTATAAGTAAAGACAATATTCAACTCTATCTGCAGACCAGCTTGTTCCTTTTACGGGGTTGTTGACATGCAAGCATCGACTGAAGATGGATGAAACAAAACAGAATTCAAGTGTCTAAAATAGAAGTTATAACCTATGTTAGAGTTATCAATCAGTCTGTCCTTTAAACAGTATGAACAGAAATAGTTACTTTCAACTCAACCATTTCAAATCTGCTAAAAGGACAAGAAATTTTAGGTCATATACTGGCATAATGACAAGGAGTGGAAGAAACTGACTTGTGCACAGAGCCCTTCATATACATGACTTTTTTTAACAGGAAAACCCCACAAATTACCTAACCATGCAAACAAATAAAAACTCTCCCCAAAAAAACCACACACAAACCCCACAATACAAAATCCTGATAGTCAGATAATCTGTGTTAAGCATTATGTGATGTCTGCTTTACTCAACATGAATGACCCTTCAAAAAAACTATTTCAGTAAGAGAGAGCAGTCTTAGGGCCCATCAAATGGCACTTTGTAAGTAAGCACAAACACTGCCACCAAGGACTTAATCAGATCTCTAGCTCTCCATCCTTTGTTGAAACAACATTCTTCAATAACCTCAACAGCCTATCTACATACCACATCGACATTTTTTCAGACCCTCAAGGACTGTTTGCTTCTTTCTCAAACCCTTGTGATCTGCAGGAATGCTCTAGGCACTGAACAAGTCAAGAACCCCTCCTGGTATCTGAGTATTTTCATTGAGAGATTTTCCTTTAATCAAAACAAATAGGCTGTTTCATGCCAAAAGTGATCTTATTGACAGATCCTAAAAATGTTAAATGAGCAACCTGCTCTGTAAATGTTGCTTTTCTAATTTAAAATCATTACAGCACTGGAGCATTGACATGGTGTTATTTATTATAATTTCTTGTTTGGTTAGTGTAAGTTATTCCCATGATTCCTTGTTTGATTTTAGCTTTATTTAAAATCATTAGCACAGCATTTATGTTTATATTTATAATCCTCATAGTGAACCAATACATGGAAGTGATGGAAACCAATACTCTTTTAATACTGGTTTTGGCATTTGCTAAATTAGGTCTTGTAACTTTTCAATATTCAACAGATTCGTGTTTCTAAGTTAGTTCTTTAGCAGATTTTATATTTCCCTTGGTATTCAGTTATTTCTATTTTTTCTGTGTTAATTCATAACACGTATAATGAAAAATGAAACAACAGTCATAAAACATAGTGAATAACTGTGTTATAACATCTAGATAATAAGAATGTAGCATTTTAGCATAAATCCTTGGATTTTGAACTTTACTATGATTCCAAGACAGGTAAGAACCCATGGTTTTGCACTCAGATTTTTTAAAATATATTTTTATATAGAATACATAAAAATCATTCTATAGCAGAATAAGTATTACTGAGCAGAGCAAGATCATGATCATTTGAGAAAATTTAAAAATTAATGAGACAGATGTATAAAGAAAAGCCATTTCATTGCTGGAGTGTCCGCTGCCTCTTAGGCATACATTATACTTTGGTTTTATATGAAAAATTTCAAGAACTTGTTTTAGGGGGAGATCTAAAACAGAATTGAGGACTTTTATGTTTGCAATATTGTTGATTTAGCAAAGAGCCTTTTGATATCTTTTGTCAATTTATGTTTAATTTCAGCCTCAGGGAAATTGAACAGTTGTAGTCTTTTTGTGCAGGTAAGTAGTAGTATCATTATATTAGTTCGATTCTGACATAATTCAGTTTCATTTATATGTAGTTATATCACTGCGTGAGATACTGGATCCGAATCTCACTGAATTATTGATACGGGTCGGCATCAACTCACTGTGAGTGTGTGTGCATGTGGGGAAGGGCTGGGCCTGGACCTGCAGGTCCATGGTAAGGTCTGCACATCAGGCCTGTGCTGAGGGCACACGGCAGAGCTGCAGGCCCTGCAGCCAGGCTGTCAGTCAAGGCAAGAGCTGCCTGGTAGCCCACCCGCACCACACCCCTGGAGCCTGTGACTGGCTACAGCACAACTCACTCTGGCCTGGAAGGCACTGACTGGATATCCTGCTCGGGAGGGAAAACTAAATAATATAAATTCATAAGACTCCATATGAACCCTCCCTCTCTTCTCCGTCTCCAATGTCTCCTCTCCTCTCCGAACCTCTCTGAACCTCTCTCTTTCTTTACTCTTTTAATCTGTTTTCTTCTTTTACTCTTTTTGTGCATAACTTCAAACCAGTGAATTTAGTTTTACTAAAGCTAGTATATTGGTTGTTTGTAGAGGGTGTTTTCTGTGGAATAGGTTTTTTTGTGCTGAGTGTCTCTGTGAAATGCTTTTTATTGGTTATATTTTACTCCTGTAAAACCTTTTGCCAAAATATCTTATTTTTCCCACTAAATTAAAAGAATTTCTCTTAGAGAAGAGTGTGTGACTCTCTGGATGCTAATTCAAGGTTATAATGAACGAGAAGGCTTTTAAAAATCTTAAATAAAAATGTAACCATTCTGGGCAGCTTACAGCTTAAATCCAGAGTGTAACAACTGATAAAAAATATTAATGAAGGTAGGGGTCTATCACAATCTCCTGTTATAAAGTAGTAAGTAAAACTGCTCAAGATATATTTTTGAAAATTTCATAAATCTGAGTCTCTTTTAGAGTGCTTGAATCGAGACAATAAGAATGACAATGCATATGTATTTATTTCTAAACAGCTAGCTTTATAAAACTGAATATTTTATGATAATTATGATGTGAGTGTACCATCTCCATACTTTCTGGAGGAAAAAAAGAAATTAAATATAAAATTTATTTATTTTAAATACCCTACAATATCACTACTCTTTTTTTCTCCCAATATTATTATTTTCTTATTTTTATAAGCTTCTAATGCAACCTTTATTCAACATAGAAAGTTTTTACTTGTGCATTTATAGTACTTCAAATTGTGGCATTTAGCATATAACCATATCAGATGATTAATTTGTCCCACCACGCCAATAAAAAAAACCAACCCAACAACAAAACCCCCACAAACCAGAATCAATAATACAGAAGATCGAGGTTTTTATTTTTATAAAGACAAAACAGAAATTATCCATCTTCAGAAATACAGAATAAATATGCTAAAATGCAGTGTAGGTTTTGCTTGTTGGTAATCTCCTGGTCTTGTTAAGATCATGGTAGACCTCCATCAATATTTCTTACTCTGTTTGACTGTAACAAATTTTGTTGGAGGCTTCCTATTTTTCATCGTCATTGGGATGAACCTTACAACTGTTATTCTCCTTTCTTTCTGTTTGTTTTTTTCTTTGTTTTTTTTTTTGTTGTTGTTGTCTTTTGTTTGTTTTGTTTTGTTTTGTTTTTTTATTTTTACTTTATTCACAGTGCTGAGTGTACAATATTGTAAGAAGTATCTGACCTCTTCCACAAAATTAAAGGGTAGGTAGGTCTTTGGACACCTCCAGGAAAGCAGAGATTCATCATTGTGGTGGTTTGAGCCAGCACAAAAATCAAAAATCCAATTTCCAGGCTTCTCCCACCCCCTCCCACAATTTTATCTCAACACCGAAGAGAAACTTTCAGGCACGAGGCCTCTATAGGGGAAAAGGGGAAGTAAATACATTTCATTTTACACAAATAAATACACTGTACAAGCTAAAAGCAACTATATATATAATATTACACACTTCTATCAGTCCCTTTAAGCTTCGCCCTTAATTCAGTCCAGGAAAAAGCCCTTCAGGTTGATAAGTAACCAGTCTTTTTCTCATGTGAGTGTTCAGGGAACCTGATTCACTCCCCCCACCAACCTCCAACTGTTCGCTGAAGTCTTTTCTTCCTCACGAAGTCCAAGAAGATAGCCCTGAGTCCTTTCTCCTTGGTTCCGTGCCATCTGTGCTGTGTGATTCTCTCTCTCATACTTCAGTTCTGTGCTGCTGTAGTTCAGTCAGCGTATCACACATATGTGTCCTGGAATCTTCATTCCTTCTCTGAGTTTTTGTTTGCCCTCTGTTTAAATCACTGCAAGGACATCCTCCGGGCCTGTCTCTGGTCCATCTCCAATTTCACCTGGGGTTATCTCCCTGGCACCGGGCTGCATTCCGCCTGTCCACTTTGGTTTGGCTCCAATGCCAAGCCTCCCCTCTACTTTACAGTGAGAGGGAAAAAAAAGAAACCCCCTCTGCAGTCTAGCTGCCAAGGGGGGGGGAAGAGGGCCTGGCTCCTCGCAAGGAGCTTACCTGTCTCTCTCCCCGCTTACCTTATGCTGTGAGTCTCTCTCTCTCTCTCACAACACCCTAATGCTGCCTCCAACCCCAGCTTAGCCAGAGCTGTGGGGCCTGCCACCCCTAGGCCTTCTCACACCCACAAAGCAGCAGACAGACAGCAGCAGACAGACAGACTGATTGCCAACAACTTCCACCAGTTGTGTTTATATGATTTTTCACAGGAGCGAACAAGATGAGTGGTGATTGGCCCTCAAGAGGAGACTGCCCCAGCACCCAATCACCTCTAGGCCCTCCAGCTCGCAGGGGGGGCAATTTTCAAACCATGACAATCATGCATAATGTTAACTTCAGAAGGCAAATGTTATCACTCCAAACATCCCTCCCTTCCTCCAGCTTCCCTCAGCAGAGCATGTTGTCATTACAAATCCAAAAGCTAGCTCCATAGAAGCTACTATGAAGAAAAATAATTCTTTCCCAGCCAATACCTGTACACTGTGAGATCAAGGATATTTATGGTCTGTTTTTGTTGTTAATTTTATTTTGTTCTCCTATATACCCACATGTATATTTTGTTTCATAGCTGTCCCTTCCGAGACTTTTATCTATATGGAGATGTAAAAAACTACTATAAGTAACCATGTCTGTATCTCTTGTCTACATACAGATGTGCACACAAAAACCCAGAAAAATGGTCTTAATCACAGAATCAACCAGGTTGGAAAAGACCTCTGAGATCATTGAGTCCAACCTACGACCTAACACCACCTTGTCAACTAGACCATGGCAC